TTTTTGTTTTTGTTTTTACTTCTATTGTACAATTAGGTTATTAATTTCAAACACAAATATTGTAGATGTCTGTCAATTATAATTTTTATGCAAATAATATGTAATGTATAGTAGATAACCCTGGGCCTCCACACGAGTATGTCTCAGTGAGGCCCAGTAATCTCATAGATTTAAATTTAAATAAAAAATTTAAATAAAATAAAAATTGTGTCAAAAAAGAGATGATTATACTAAACCCTATAAACAAGGGATAGCCAAATGGCGGCCCGCTGACAAGAGGAAAAAAAGTAAAAACCATTAATATTATATGTTCTGATGTTGTAATTTATTATTTTCTTTAATTGGTTTTCAATTCCAGCAATTTATATAGCCTGAGAACAATTTCAAGATTCCTAACCTTTAAAAATATTTTTATTGGTGATCCCTGCTATAAATATTAAATACAAAAAATAGAAAAGTATCTATGTACTTAGGTAGGTATTAGAGTAAAATAAATATAATTATTAAAATAATTTATATTCATAATTATTATACTACCTATATGATAATAGTGAGGCTACTTAATARGTCCAAATTATGGTTCCTAAATATTCAAATATAATTAATGACATTACAAAACGATTACAAAATGTAATATACAAACTTACAAACATGCYAACCTCATMAAAAACATATTAGCAGGTACTTATAAAAGTAACTTATATAAATATTTAATATTAAAACATTTAATTTTATATAGACGATACCTTTAATCTATATGTAAATATCCCAGTAAATATAGAGATAAACTATCAATACATTACTATTATATACTTAATAAAATATTGTTCAAAGTTTAATAGATACATAAATGTCTGGATAAATATAAAATAAATACCCTACCTACCCATATTGTAAAAAGTTATCTTATTTATGAATTCAAATAAATGTATAGTAGTATCTTAAAATWTCTTAGTATCATTATCATTTTATAAGAATGTTGTACCTAAATATACATAAAAGTAAAAATTACTTTATGCAACATCAAAGCAATCCCGTAATTTCAAATTTGGTCAAGTAGACCAATAGGTTGTACAAAATGATACCAAAAAAAACTTAAGGAAATTTAATCGTAACTTATTTTGTGAGTATTACCTCGATTCCTTAACAAATAACTTTTACTGAACTTATTTTATGTTCAATTTATTATAATAACTAACTTAAATATTTAAACATTTGTCTGCTAATTATTAAGTGACTTAATTTGTATTAATATCTACTTTGTATTAAATAAATAAATTTAGTGTGTAAGTACCTACCTACTTACATTACAAAAATCTCTTTAAATATTTTTTTGGCATACCTCAATAATTTTGAAAGGAACTGTAAAAATTCCTTCAGTAAAATAATATATATATTCAATTCAGACCTCATTACGAGCACTAAAGAACTCGTTAAAGAGTCAATAGAAAATCACTGGAAATCTTTAGACATCAGAAATCTGTAAGTATTAAACCTGTACACCATTGTTACTAGTGGTTTATTCTTTGATACAGACAAATAACTATGTACACTTTTCAGTTGTTTCAATGGGCGGAACACTTTTCTGCCAAAATGARCCTTTCCCTTTTCGGCCATTCTGAAATGACCGACTATTTTGGTCACCAATGAAATATTCTTTTCACGTTTTTTTTTTATTAAACAACCAAAACACTACTTTTTTTAATAGACTGTATAAAATAATAATATATATAAAAAAAATTTATATATTAATTACCTATATATACATTAAGATCCAATTATTTTGCATGTCTAAGTACTTTATTGATATATACGGTAGCAGACACAATGATACATAATATGTGTACATGGATAGTAACACACTGAAATATAATTGAACAATGATATTGATCGACCAGATAACGACAAGAATAAGATACCTATAAATAATACAATATAATAAAGATAAAAGTAATAGTAATAATAATAATAATAATGAAATCAAAAATTATTGTATACGAGTATGCGTCAACAATTGTCAATTATTAATTTATAATATATTGAATTAAGTTAAAAAGTATACAAAATAAAAGTTATATTATATTATTCATTTACACAACAAGTATAAAATTATGTGGATTTTTAATTTTTTTATAGCTATAACACATACGTTTAATAAATTTTATGAAATAAAAATAATAATTTTGTCAAATTTTTACCTAATATTTTTTTTATAATAATTTTATCAAATTGTTACCTAAAATTTGTTAAATAAGTAGGTAACATTATGGTGTTAAGTTAATATTATTGTAGATAGTGATTTAAACTTAGATTCAAAAAAATACTATAATACATTTTTTTTTTTCAATAGTACATTTAACTGCCTAAACCCAATTAAATTATATGAAAATTAAAATACAATGGTCCGTTGAAAATTGTATTTAATTTATAGTAATTATTTTTAATTATAATATAATACCTACCTAGTACCTAATAGATTTATACAATTATTTTACTTTACTTATATTGTATTAAAATATTACCTACAAAAATTTTATTGTACTTAATGACTACTCAGTATCAACTATTAAGTGATACAACATACAACTATATACCTAACTAATTTAAAATAAATATAAGCAACATTCTGTAAGTACACGAATTATCATCTTCATTAAACAAGGTAGCAAATAAGCTAGTACAATTAAGTAATTCAAAATTTAAATTAACAAGTAAAATATGTGGCCAGATTAAAGTCAATCACATGTATTAAATATTACTATTGTAAATTTAATTGTATAGATAACATTGTGCAATATATATTTTCACTTAAATATTACTTAACTTAGTTTAAATATTGCTTATATTAAGTAGGTAAGTATAAATATATCTACCTTAGATTAAGTTTTAAGGATGTAATTTACCAGCCTAATTCATTAAATCTGTATTTAATAGTTGATAAAACACAAATATAAAAACATAAATCACTTGACTAAAAAATTTAGTACCAAGAAGTATACTTGAGAGTATATTGTACAAAATATCAATAGCCAACACCAACTACCTATAGTACATGTCACATTAGTAACAATATCATTTAATTTTAAACAGATTATGGAACATTAGATCTGTAATYGGTGATTACCTAATTTTTAAAACAGTATTCGYAACCCAAACATATTAGATTGATTAAAGTAAAAAATTATTTACCTTTTATATTCGCTATAACAATATGTGTCGCAAATTCATTTTTGTTCGTGTTTGAAGGGTAATGTTTTCAACAGTGTGTTACCGTTACTAGCATCAACAGACGTGCAACAATTTGCACATTGTCCGAACCACGGATGACTTTTCTACGGCAGATCGGTCAACGGGTACAGCAAYGAACATCTGCGAGATGGTCGTACACTTTCTAGCGACTGTCACAAGACGAACGATGAAAACCTTCGTTTCCCGTACGACGTTTGCGCAACAATCGTAGTGATGTCGACATTAGGCCCGAAGACGAGACCAGGACCAGACACGATATCAAGAACGCTCGGGACACCTGACATACAGGGGGTAGAAGATAATTACTACATAAAAACGCACAAAAAYCGTGCGGATAACAATAAATGGTCAAGTTCTCGAGTTGGCGGTGACGAAGTATGAAATATCGGCGCGAGCCGAGCGGTAGTTACTGTTGAAAGACGACGTCACTGGCGCCGCGCACCGCACCGAAGCTACACACACGCGAAAATGCCTGTCGTACGGTCAATGGCAATAACGACAACAATGTCTACGAGTCTACGGCGACGGGTTGTTATTATCAATTATTTGGTACAACGGCGGTCACTGCAATCTCCTGACGACGTTCGAAGGAGTCCGTGCTGTCTGGTCGCCGACGTTGTGGTCGTTGTTGTTGTTGTTGTCGACGATAATGGTGCAAGCACGACAGCAGCGGTATCATTTAAACGAAACACGACAAGAACGAAATCCACGGCTACACCCGACGTATGACGCACCGATGATCGACGCGACAACGAGACAACAATATCATTATTTTTTTTTTCTTAATCGGGGCTACCGCACGAACAATATAATAATAATAATAATAAAAATAATAATAATAATAGTAATAATAATAATAACAATAAGATAGCTACTGCTACGACCTATACGCCGTGCAGTCCAACCATTCCTACGATATGCCGTGTGTGCATGCGCGTATGTATGCGCTGTTGTACGTGCGCGTGCGAGTGTGAGTGGTTCTTCCCGTATTAAAACGTGTGCGTATAATACATGTATATATATAAGTAATACGTATGTGTACGGTCACGGAGCGTGTGTTATACGCCGCTGACTGTGGTTGTAGTAGTGTAGTGGTAATAGTAGTAGTACAACTGTAGTAGTAGTATAGTTATAGTAGTAGTAATAGTAATAGTAATATTGTAATAGTTCGTGGTGAACCAAGAGGTATGGAAAAAAAAGATTTCTTAGGAAGAAAAAACAAAATGGGGAAAAGAATAAAAAATGAATAACGGGTACCGGCAACAGTGATTGACGACAACGGGTCCGAAAACGCGGACCGTGGACACTGGTACACGGCTACTTTTCCGCTACTCCGTACCACGGATCCGCTATTGTGATGATATCTCCCACTCCAGTACTCCGCCCGCCCTACGAACTAACGGGCCAACCACCAACACCACGGCGCAGCCGCCGCCGCCGCCGCGCTATGCGCCGCATACCAGTGGTAACCAAATCGCGGACATTCCGTCGGCCGTCGAAATTTACAACGCGTTTGGCGTTACTCGATTATAGATCTGTGATAGTGATTTACAACGATATTGTACTTTAAATTTTAATGTGTATGATATTATAAGTCAACATTTATTATACTATAAAGTTGTAGTGTTACAGCAATACGTCACTATGATGTACTGTAGATTTTTATGATAAGATCCTGGAGTCTGGACACCCCTGGCCTGTCAACCGTCGCATCGCTGTTTGTGTTCGATGGTCGGGCGGTGCGGCAGTGGCAGCGAACGACGGTGATGCGTTGCTCGTATATGTAATATGTATAGTACTATAGTGTATAATATAATATATTACTGTGTAGTGTGTAGTACACCTGTGCATCGCACCGCCCAGTGCCCACGGAAGTGGAATTAACTCAGACGGACGACGGAGAAAGATTCCCATCTCAGCCGTCGTGTACGCATCGTCGACAACTCGTGGGATGGCGAGTGCGACATTATTTAACATTATTATTATTATTATTATTATTATCATCGCCACAGCCGCTGAATCCCCTTTTAGGTGTTTAGACGTATTACACGGCGCACAATACGTATAACTATAAAATATATCAGGAGCATACAAAATTCTATAAATTTAAGACCCAAGATTCAGAATATTTAAAAAAATTTTATACTTAAATATAAATATAAATAATTCTGATATTTACCCATTGCGATATCGCCGATATCTCACAAAATAATTGAAATATCAAAATTATGGTTTTTAGTAAGTCTTACAGGGCTCAGAACTACAATTGTTACATTTTTTTATTTATTTAAATGTTTTGGTAAAAAAATTAAAAAATTAATATTTTTATTCAATTATTTTCAAAAAAAATAAACATACCTAGCCATTTT